TTTTAGTGAAGTATCCAGGTTAAGAGCTGTCTTCATGTATATCGCAGCAGTGCTTGGCATTTTAGTGAAGTATCCAGGTTAAGAGCTGTCTTCATGTATATCGCAGCAGTGCTTGGCATTTTAGTGAAGTATCCAGGTTAAGAGCTGTCTTCATGTATATCGCAGCAGTGCTTGGGATCCGTACCTGTGCCTCCCATGTTTTTTTCTGTTTCTGCTTCTTTGGTGGTCAGTTGGCTGTTTGTATGTTTCTGTTTTCCTGCCACACTCAGGTGACCCAGGCACGTCGGCGCCTTCAGCTTGTTTGGACATGAAGGAGCGAATCCTCCAGAGACATGGGGAGGGTCTGTTATGGAGATCTGGCCCAGGGTTTCTACTGATGATGTCATCATCATTGCCTGTCTCCATATTTAGTCACAGACTAAACGTAAAACGTAATTAATTTTACTTACTGTAATCGTCTTCCACTACTTTGTATTTGTTGTATTGATGTTATTTTGTACTGATATGACCTATGACCTTTTATAAAAAAAAATGTTTCCATGAATGCATTTTTGGCATTTTATTAAACTATTGTAATATATTTACTTGAATTGTTTTTTTTCCATATCGTAACATTCCTCATACATATATGCATTTTCCACTGCTAAATGTTTTGCTTTTATGTTACTGGAATTTGTATCAATGAACAAATATAGGATGTGGAGGCTGTCAGTAGTGGGGGTTTAACATAGATCAAAGCTGACCAGTCGGGGATTAGGTGCACTGTTGGATGGATGGATGGATGTGTTGTAGATACCATATCCAGAGTGAATGTCATCATTTTTTGATGGTTTTCTAGTTTTTTTATATGATACTGGACGTTTTCTCTCAGAAATCAGTTCTGCCTGCTACTGGTATTCACCCAGTTGCTTCCTGGGAGCAATGCTGGTTAGCCTGGTCTCCCCACATGTGTCCCGGCAGCAGCGAGCCGGTAGGTGTGTAAATCAACCTGCATGAAGCGAAGCAGGGGGTGAAAAGGTCGGAGCAGGAAATTTGCCCCGTCTTCTCTCCCCTTTCATGTGAGGTCTAATCACGGCTGATTGATCGGCTCATAGGCGCTTTCACACAAACCGCTGGCCGTCCAGGCGGGCAGGAGTCGTCTGACCAGCTTAACATCTGCTAACCCCCATTTTATTATTTATGTACTTTTTAACTGCTTGTCCCCAGGTCGCCTGGCTCTCCCCCAGCCCCCACCCCAGTGACCTCTCCCACTTGTTGGATTCCCCTGTGGGGGGAGTTCCCCACATACTACGGAACAGCAAATAATATTTGGACCCCCATTCTCCAGGTGTGAGTCCCAAGCAAGGGATGGTTGTTGTAAGTTAATTCAGCTCAATAACCAGTTGTCTGTATGAACCTGTGTAATTAGTGTCGCCATGAATGAAGAATGGAATTGGCTAATTTATTGGGCCCATTTGAAGCACAGCGTTTACACGCTGTAAGCAGATGCCCCAAAGTCAGTGATGGGTGGGACCACGCCATTGATATTTGCATTTTACTTAATTTACTTAAGTCAGGCTTTGCGAGAATGATAAACATTCACCAATCTGGAAAAAATGCAAAAGAGGACCATCGACCTACAAGGTCAATCAAAGTGACTCCGGCCACTCTGCACGTGGAATAAACGCACGCAGGAAGGATACAGCGACTTCAGTCGCTCACCCACCCACAGATGTCCTTTGAAATTCAGTTTTAAACGGTTTATGTTACTTCCTTTGCTCCTTTGGTCAAAATTAACGAAATACCCCTAACCAGCCGTAACTGGCTGATGAGCTCTGTAGCTCATTTTTTTTTTAAGGGTGTTATCCACCATGTCCAACTTCAAAGCACATTCTAGCTGCACGCTTTAATTGTGTGGTCACCCCGCTGTGTGCGTGGCGACTGCTTCTGCTGACGGGCCGCTTTCCCATCTCCCGTGTCATCGCATCCCCCCCCCCCAAAGCTTCCTGTGACTCTCTAATGGCGCTCGTCTGCGCCAGCGGTCACTCCGACTTCAGGTCTGCCTCTTATTCTCTTTACTGTTTACGAAAACATGAAACCAGATCAATTCAGCCTCTCTCTTTTATTTACCCCTGTCCTGTCTGGCCTTAAAATGGACATTCACACTTCACTCCGCTTGGTCTTTCTTGATAACTGTCATAAGCTCAGCGCCCCCCTCCCCCCCGGGTATCATGTTCTATTGTTCTCCACAAATTCTTTGGTCTGGCTTGAGATAAAGGGATAACGACTTCAAAGGGTCGCACTAGGAGTCTGACCCCAAGCTGAAAACCGACAGGGACAATGCAGTAATGGAGAGCAGTTACTGATCACAGGCTCTGTTCAAAGAGAAGTGTGGCCACACTTACAGATGCACTTACTCTTTATTGGTTTTTATGGTGCGGGCCATAGGCTTGATGGGCAAAAAGCCCTGGTGATGTATGACTCTCGTGTCTGTGGAGACCCAGTGAAGCTCATGCAAATTGTTCTGTGCAGTACGATGAGCTACTCGATGCACGTGTTTCATGAATGACTTGAGTGAAGTCTGTCGGTCCAGCCAAGCAGATGGCATAACTTGGGATAAATGTCCTGCAGAAGTGTGAATTGGGTCCGTCGCTGTGTTGATGCCCCACTGACCTGTCAGTAACCCCGTCGTTAATGGGGGGGGGGTGGGTGTCACAAACAGGCCCCCTGATTATGACAGGCCACCTCGCTCCCATCCTCTGCACCATCCTGTGTGATGCTTCGTGAAAGTCTCCTGCGAACCCGAGGGGCACATAGGAGTCAGGAAGTCAGATTAGCCATCCTTAAGTAAGGGTGTTTATATAGACCAAAGTGCATCATTGTATGGCGTGGTTTTTGTTCTATATATTTTTTTTTTCCTCTTAAAGATTTGTTATGGTGTTGTTATGTCCAACTCGACTGCTGATGTCGTACGAAGAACAGACGGGAGGATTGCAATAGGCCCGCGATGCATTAAGCTCCTTAACCAACATGCCACCTGCTGTTCCATCTTCCACGAGGTCACCCAGCACCGCTGTTCAAGCACCATGCTGCACCCTGCTTTGTTGTGCTGTGTCACTCCAGCCTGCTCAGAAGCAGCTGTGCTTGGTTTAGATGAGTAGTGAGGCCACTTTATCAGAGTGGATAGACTTCTATACAACTAGAAGAAGAAACTGTAGCCTCTAGGTACTTCTAGTGAAATATGATTTTTATGATTATGAATAATATTCTGATTTTATGTCTAATTTCAGTTAAATGATGTGTGTGGGTGGGGGGGTGTTTGCATTACGTTGTGGGGACCAAATCTTCATTTTGACATTGTGGGGACTTTTTTTTTTATTATTAAATTTAATAGAAATCTGTGACTGCAATCAACTAAAAATGCCAAAAGCTTTGTGTTTTGTTTCATTACTTGTGGTTAAGCTTAGGGCTTGGCAGGGGTTAAGACAAGTCATTGTTGGGTTAGGGTTTTGCCCATAGAAATGAAATGAATGAATGAATGATCCCCCAAAAGATATGAATACAAGCATGTGTGTGTGTAAATATATCTATATAAGCGCACACATTTTTGTTTATATATATAAAGGTTGGGTATTTATTCCTGGCAGAACAGGACCAATCTTACCTAAAGGATACATTGTACAACTTTGATTTGTTTATATGCACATCTTTTCTATGCACGTCATGTATTTTATTCAATTAAAAAATGTTTTTTGTTGCTTTCCACAGAATTAAACCGTTTCGTTTCTGCGTGAATGTATTTATTTCGTTGTGTCCTGGGCCCTTAATTTACGCTTTAACATCAAAGAGTCACTTCCTTTGAAGTATCATGTCGCAAGATCACCGTCTCATCCATCCTTAGATCTTTACAATTAATTTCTTTAGTGTGAAAAATGCAGGATGCCGTCTCGGTTATTTTCTTTCCTCTTTAAATCGTAAACATGATTTGTTAGATTTACTCATTGTATCAATATTTGCAAATATTTGTCAAAAAAACTATACACGTCAAGATATGTGCTCAATGAAAGTGACTTTCGTGCTTTGTGTGAGGGTATTAACTCAGTATAATGACAGCCCAATTACCTGCTCCCGTTCATGCATCACAGGAAGGAAGGGGTTAAAGCGCAAAATATTTGAGTCTTAAAAGAAGAGGCCTGTGTCTTTTAAGTTTATGTAGCAACAGAAGGATTGCAAGGATAATTCTACTGGGACGGCAGATCATTTACTTCTGACGTTCCAAAGCCTCGGGGAGTTGGCTCAAGATTGCTTGTCTTTGATAAGGTCCTTGCAACTTAGTAACAACTTTACATTTTCTAATCTAATGCTAAAAACACTTACTAACATCATACTGAAAATGGTCACCGATTACCGATATCTGACACCTAGGAGCCTACCTTGATTAAAGGACAAACGTGCTGCGCCGATCAAAATCATTACTTATTCTCTGTTAGGAGCAGCGGCGAATAATTCTTTTTAGCTACCTTCCGGGACCATGCTGTCGGTTCCCTTCTTTGATGTCTGCAGTTAAACCCTGAGCCCGTTTCGTATTGGAATAGCCTGGAGGAGGTCTACCGCTTGGCTTGACTGCTTAAAACATAACTTATGAAGAAAAGGGGAAAGCTGGTCTGTTTTTCGGGTAAAACTAAGACGTGTTTCCCCCCCATCCAGAAAAGATACACATTGAACGGAACTTAAAAGCACCGTGGCTGAGTGGAAATTGTGGATGACTTTTTTTCGGTTTTGGGTTGTTGGATTTCAGGGATTCTCGAGACGCGAAAACTTCTGGGTCGATGGTGAGTAGAAGGAGCCTACGTGCCCCGCCGGTTGTTTGATGTCGTCCTGACACGCTTTGAAGTAATATGTGATATTTAATTATCTAGATGAAACGATCTCGTCTGCTTTTCTTCTTCCATGTTAAATACTTTCAGTATTTCTGGTAGTATGCCGCTGCAGTTGTGAAAAGTGTAGGACAAATGCTGTATGATTCCCACCATCGGTTCTTTTAAAAGACTGCGCGGCTACTCAAGGATCAATTCTTGAATGGGATGGGGACAGCCGTGGACTAGCCTACTAAGTTTTTAGATTTCTTCGGCTTTTATTAGAATTTTTTTTGCGTATTTTCTGGTTTATTTTATCCGACCGATGCTAGTCGGCAATTGGTTATCCTAGAGGACGATACGGAAATCCCAATAAAGGTGAATTGGCTGCAGTGTAACGTACGTGTTTTTCAGTTCATCTTGTTTGGGACATTATGGAATGTTATGCTTGATATGGCTTTTTGCCTATATTTGCTTACGCCGGAAAACAAGATTTGTTTTGTGTTGGAGTTAAGTAGCCTGTTTAATGGTGGTATCAGATGTCTTATACTACGGATCACGGTATGCAGTAGATAACGCTACAGTCTGCATCGCGATCTGTAAAGCACAATGGATTTAGTATAGCTATTATTAGATTAACAGGAGGCATTTACCATACTCGTAGAAAATGTGTTCCAATCATCTCAAGGACTAAATAAGCCTGATCTTTTTTAAAAAAAAAAAAAAACCAAAGTTGTCTGTCTCGTAGCATTTTTGCATACATACTTTGTATTTAATTTAGATAATGTAACGGATATTTCAGTACAAGTGTGTTCCACTCGGATGTACAAACATGCAATATTTTTATAGGCGTATTAGCTGAACTGAAAATTATCTTAATTACTGCGACTGAGCTCGCTAGGCTGTACCCGGCGTCCTGCGTGGTTGATATTGTAGTGCATGTCGAGTCCGGTTCTTCCTGAAGACTTGCAATAGTTTACTGAAGTCTCTAACGGCATGATTTAATGGAGCCAGAATTACGTGACAAGCATTATGTTGTTAATGTAGGTTGTGCGAGTCCCTAGAAATCAATGGTTGATGCATTTTTCTTGTATTTTCACATATAGCCTAGTTAAGGAATGGTCCGTCTTCGTGAAATCTGCCCCCTTTTAAGTGTTGCGGGTTTGGTTTTAATTAGTCCGATGCTTCTCCGTTTCAGAGAAGACGGGACAGATGAACAACTACTGCTGATCTGAGCAAGCGGAGAGGCGATCGGTCGGGCGCGGGAGGCTGCGGGCAAGACGCAAGGGAACGGAGAGCCGAAATCATGAAGCGGGCGCTTACGGACCATTTCGTCAGCAGCTTTAGAGAAGATGCCCCTCGTCCGCCGGTGCCGGGGGAAGAGGGAGAGGCGCCGTGCAACAGCCCCGGCAAACTTGCTGGGGTCAGACCCCAGAGTAAAGCTAAAGCGGCAGTCATCGACCCCCCTGTGTTTGCGGCCAGGAGGGACGAGGATGGACTGGGGGAGCCTGAAGGGAGCGCGTCCCCGGATTCCCCGCTCATCCGATGGACGAAGTCCCTGCACTCCCTGCTGGGCGACCAGGACGGCGCCCATCTCTTCAGTATATTCCTGGAACGGGAGAATTGCGCCGACACGTTAGATTTCTGGTTCGCATGCAACGGCTTCAGGCAGATGAACCTCAAGGATGGCAAAACGCTTCGAGTCGCCAAAGCCATTTACAAACGATACATCGAGAACAACAGCATCGTCGCGAAGCAGCTGAAGAGCGCAACTAAAGTCTACATAAGGGATAATATCAAAAAGGGCCAGATAGACTCGTCCATGTTCGACCAGGCGCAGACAGAAATACAGGCAACCATGGAGGAAAATGCTTACCAGATGTTTTTGACCTCTGATATATTCCTCGAATACGTCCGTGCCGGATGTGAGAGCCCGGCTCATATTGGCCACAGCGGGCTGGGGAGTCTAAAATTGATGTGCGGATACTTGTCTAGGTTAAACGTGGAAGATGAGTGGACTGGCAAAGACTTTAAAGCCGTGGATCTGGCTTCAATGGTTGGGCTCTCGACAAAAGCGCCGCGGGCGGCTGCGCCTCTGAGGTCTGCGGATGTGCCGCGGAATGAATATAGGTACGTGCGTGTGACTCCCTTGTCTTTCTGTACTGGATCTGACCATAATAATATTTTTATTTACTATAGACGTTAGACTGAATAGGTGTAATGATATCGATTCTTAATGCCAGGCGGTGTTCTTGCTGCCTATTCTGCCTCTATCAGAATAATAGCTTAAAAATTATGTGTTTTTTTTTTCCTCGGCGCATGTCCTAGTTCCCGTAAAGCAATTGTGCTCCCGGCTGATTTGAATTAAGCTGTGACGGCGATAGCGGGAAACATCAGTGGGACTCTGTCTTCCTTTAAAGTAAATAGTGCCGATGTGACGGCCTTCTACTGGGGCGCATCGGTTTCCTGTGCTTTGAAATTTGTTTTCCAGATGAAGGGAACTGTTATACAGTGTGCATACAGTAGTCATTAGTCATAATGTCAAACCGATGACTGTCGCAATTGTTCAAATATACACTTGTAGACTTTTTAGGCCACTTAATTAAAACTTGAAGCTGACTTAACTGTCAATCCAAATTATGAATAACCTAATGAAAGCGGCGGCCCTTATCCGAGTCCGCAGCAGTTTTTGTTGCCGTCGCGCTGTTTCAGTTTTTGGACTTTATGACTGAGCGCCACGCAGACATTTGGCCACCGGAGATGCACTGGGGACTCTTCGGTCTGGTTCGGTCAGGTTTTCATGGAAATTTTTGTTTGAAGATGGCAGAGAGGAGGAAGGATGAGGCTGCTTTTGGCCCTTTAGCTCCCCATCATTACTTGATTGGTGTGGTTTAATCTGTAAATGCTGTGCATCTCTCTGTAAGGCTTCCTTTAATGCAGTCCTCCTATCACGTTGTATTAGTAATCATTATGCCTTTATTTTCCCCATTATGATGCCCCCCCCCAATATTATAATGAGGAGTCAAGATGGAGGAAGAATTGTGTTTTTCCGAATTGTTCCGAAAGTTGGCCTTCTGCTGTTTGCAGGCTGCGCCGGTGCCCCGATCCCACCAAGTCGTGCCCCCCCAACGCGGGCTGTGTGTTGGCCCCTGCGTCCAGCGCCCACGACAGCGAGGCCTCCAGCGACGCTCTCACGGACGACTCTGTGTCTGTGACGGACAGCAGCGTGTGAGTCCCAACCCCACCCACACCTTCATGGAGAATGACTGTCACTGCAAAGGCTTCACCTTGGTTGCTACAAACTGTGTGTGTGTGTGTGTGTGTGTGTGTGTGGGGGGGTGGGGGGGGGTATGAATTTCCATTTCAATGTTGTGTAAATGACCTTTGTGTGTGAACGTTCCCGTGAATACCTTTTAGCTTGTGCTGTAGATGCTGGGCACAAGTTAGAAAGCCTGTTCATGATTTGTTGGCAGCAGATGTTGAAAAAGTGTTTCAACAGTGTGTCTCCTTTTAGTTTATGGGATTGTGGCTCATTGATTGAAGGCCATAATGGGGGGGGGGGATGTTCCATGAGTGACCATAGTACTGTACAGGCTGGGTGAGCATCTGGCATGTAGAGAACATGTTCACTGTTAACTAAAAACCACAAAGGAGCTGGTAGTCTGGCAAAGGGAACAACAGAAGTGATGTCAGGCACGGTTCAAATATTAGAAATCAAGGTAATTCAAGGTTGTGTCAATGAGTAATATTTGTTTTTTAAACTAGACTCTGGTCTCGTTATTCTGTCTGTGTGCTGTGGGCTGGTAGGACCCTGCAGATCCCAGATGTACGTCTGCTCCCTCAGACCAGAAAGGTCTGCACCTCCTTCAGCAGGAAGCTGCTGTATAACAGAGCCGCAGGCTCGGTCAAATGCTGGTTGCACTTGAATCAGCCTGGTTTTTGGTGCTCTGGTTCTCCCCGTGCACCACACAGCTCTTCTTGAACTCAATGTTTATTTCTGAAACATGTCTGGTTAACATCCTGATGGCTGGAATTGGCACCTTTTGTGAGTCGATGTCACTGAGGTCCGGAATAGTGTTCTGTGGTCTCTGGCCTGGCACAGGGAAGTGCGTTGGAGGTTTCGCACTTGGGTATGCAAGCTGTGCTGAAGCGTGCCAATCTGGACGGGGATCAGGCGGACTGGCCTGCAATAGGCCAAGTCCCCTCATTAAGATTGCAAAACAACTGCGCTAATTTTAGAACGCACAACAAAAGTAACTTGACGCTTGATACTTCATCGTAGTTCCCAAATTTTGAATTTCATTTTAATGAGAAGTCGTGTGAATGATTAAAGCGATGTAGAATATTTGTGGCATTTGTAATAAATGAGAGCAGATTCATAGGCCTTCATGGCTTGGGGCGGGGGGGGGAGCCTTTCTCTTAATTTCCAGTTAATAATAGATATTATGCCTTGTGGGCAAAGGGGCGGGGGGCACCTTCACCTTGTCACGGCTGGTTTGTCCCTCGCTGTTCCCTGTGGTGTGACAGGATTCTGTGGTGGGGAGGCGTCACCTCCGCTGGCCGTTTATGGGTCCTGGAAACTCACCTGGGGGGGGGGGGGGGGGGGGGGGGCTGTGATTTAGGGCCCAGCCGGCCACGCCCCCTCCTCCATTTGCCCAGCTGGGAGTCTCTTTGTAAATGGGGTGGGGGCTGTGGGGGGGGATGAAAGGCTTAACTGAATCGCTTTCAGCTTATTGTTATGCTGGGGGGGGGGGCTTGCGGGGATGAGAGGGCCTGCTGCATGCTTTGAAAGCTGCCTGAGTGAATGAAGGGTCTCCATGCAAAGCAGGGTCACTGCACAGGGTCGCTGGCTGGGCCGGGCCGGACTGGCCGGAATGTGTGTGTTGGGGGGGTGGCTGTTTTATAGGGGGGTCCAGGAGGTGTCAGGTTTGTGCCAGCACAACCAGATCAGGGACTACATTCTAGGAGAGAGCCGTAGACTAAGATCAGACGGGTCACGCCGAGAGCTGAATCGGGTTCCTTCTGCAGGGAGAACCAGAAATTCGATTTCCACATGCGTCCTCATCCCCATTCCTGGTCACTAACAGGTGCATTGTTGTGCTGACGTCTCACTTCACTTGCTCTGTTATGTGGATCTGCCTTGTTACCTTGAATATAATTACAGGCAATTATACACCACGGTCTAAAATCCTCCTAAATATCATTGTTTGGGTGATACTTTTTGAAGAGGAAAAGTGGGGTGAAACCTTTGTCGGGGCAGCTCGTGTTTGGCTTGGCCTTGAACTCCCGTGTGCCCACAGGGATGGTGCCCCCACGTACAAGCCGGGCTCCCGGAAGCTGCTGAAGCGTGAAATGCACCGCAGCGTCAAGGTGAACGGCCGTGTGCTGCTGCCTGACTTCCCAGTAAGTACGCACCCGCTACCCGCGCATGCCGCTTGGCATCTTATTCTGCAATCTCCGGAATCATTAGCCAATGGTTGGTTTTGAATTGGTGCGTGATGGGGGAGTGGACACTACAGAAGCCAATCATCTTTCAGTCCCTTTGGCCCCGCCCCTGTGTACAGCTGGCCCAATAGCGCGCATTAATAAAAATGCAGAATCTAGTCAAGTTTATAAGAGTGGAGACTCTAACCTCCTAACTCCTGAATGGGGTCTTGGATCAGGCGAGGGTCTCTGATGGGGGGGTCCGTTCAAAGTTTAATTGGCTGTGCTGCTCCTTTGTAAACCTCCGCTGTGCCGTTTTTCATGGCAAGTCGCCGTAGTCTTTCCTAACCCCCCCCCCCCCCCTGCTTTCCTCCTGATGGAGAGATGGTACCATTTCCCATGATGCACTGGGGGCGCGGCAGGATCCTCCGGTGGCTTTGCTCTTTGTTCTGCACGATGAGATGAGAGAAATGGGGGGGTGTAAAATCAAGAAAGCAGGGAAAATATCCCACGTATGGGTGGGGGGGGGGGGGCATCATTGCTGCTGGTACCTCAAAGGCCAGAATGCAGCGAGGAAATAAATTGCTGCGTCTCCTGTGATCCGACACCATCTGACCCCCTGCCACTCTCCTCCGTCTGCACGCCTCCTTTTTAATTTTCTCTCCCCTTTCTCCCGTCGACATGCGACTTTTATTCAGAGATGTAAAGCCGCTGCCTTAGTGAGCCGGGGCCCTGTTTGATGTGTGGGGGAGGCCTTTGAAGCACCTGACTTCAGAGGCCATGCTGACGGCTAGCTGGTGCTGCGGGGGAGGAGGGAGGGGGCCGGAGCCGCCGAGGGCCAGCCGGGGCTGCTAGCGTTAGCGGCTGGGGGAGCCGCTGGTCGGTGGCCTGTCTGTGCGGCAGGCTAGTGGCTAACGGGCTGCCTAGGGCAGGGCTGGGCGCTCTTATCCGGAAGGGGGCGCTGTGTGTGCGGGGTTTGATTGGATTGATTGGCTGAAGCCCTTGCAGCTGGGGTTTGAACAGCTGACCTAAAGATGATCCCAAAAACCTGCATACACACTGGCCCTTTGCAGATAAGATTGGCCACCCCTGGACTAGCCTAGCGATTAGCCGTAGTGCCCAACAGGCCGGTTAATGAGTCAGTGTCTTAGCATTTCGGGAAAACTCAGGCCCGGCACCGTTAGCCGGATGCTAACAGCCGGCTCTCAGACTTGATGCCAGTAGAGGGCACTAACCCGCACCGCCTTGCCTCCCCCTCGCCAGCAGATGCAGCGCCCCCCCCGGGACATGGGCCCCGTGGAGCCGGCGGCCTTTGCCGCGCAGCTGATCGCCCGGCTGGAGCGGCTGAAGCGGGAGCAGGACACCCGGAGCTCCCTGGAGCAGCGGCTGCAGCAGATCCAGGAGGTGAGGCTCATTCGGCCTCTCTGCACTTCCGCAGCCGTCAGCACGGGGGCGCCGTGCTCCGGCCGTGCACTTCGACTGACTTCCTGTGTGCCCGATATCCAGGAGGAGGAGGGGGAGGTGCCGGGCGTCGCCCTGTGTGACGAGGACCCCCAGGCCATTCTGGATGAGCACCTGTCCAGAGTGCTGCGCAGCCCCGGCTGCCAGTCTCCCGGCACCGGCGTGGGCGTGGCCTGCCGCTGCCTCTCCCCAGACACCCGCGCCCCCTGCAGGCTGTCACACCTCACTGCCACCCAGCAGCAGCCCGGTGAGGGGGCGGACGGGGCCCGGTGCCGGATGGGGCTCTGCTCCTCTCCCATTGGTTCTGGCCTTGGCAGCCTGGTCGCAGTGCATTGTGGGTGAGTATCCCCCCCCTCCCTTTTGCTGCTAATGTCTTGCTTTTTTTTGCGACTGTCGGTCGTTAACTGCGGAAGTGGTTTCGTTCATGTCTGCGTCTCCGGTGACCTTTGCCCTCTCGCCTTCCGCCAGCAGGCAGTGTAACGCGACGCCACGGCGCCCCTGTCAGGCCGGGGAAGGGAGCGCCATGGCACCCTGCGGATGCGAGGCCGTGCAGCCCCCGTCGGACACTGCCGACCGCTCGCACGGCGTGTGGCAGTGGATTCTGGACAGCGAGAGGCAGGGCCGGCACAGGTCACATGGGTGAGTACCCGGACAGAGCCCACCCCCGTGGGCCCTAAAGGCCTTCCTATTGGATGGCAGGTTGACCAGTAGGCTATGCCCTCCTGTTCTCTCCGCAGAGAGTCGTAGTTCAGTGGTGGTTAACTTTGGGCACTGACCCTACGCCCTTCGTTTCTCCAGCACCCAGCGCGCCAGAAAGCCACACACGGGCAACGCCGCACTGCTGCGCAATCTGGCCAGTGGGGGCGCCGGCGGTCACTCCCGTGCGGCTCAGCCCTCCCAGCCCTTTGTTCAGGACCCCTCTATGCCCCCCCTGCCCCCACCCAACACGCTGGCACAGCTGGAGGAGGCGCGCCGGCGCCTGGAGGAGGCCTCCAAGCAAAGGTGGGTCCCCCCCCCCCCCATCACCGACGCCGTGATGCTGCCGCCTGCCTTTCCAGCCCCTGATGCTAACGTCTCTGCCCCCCCCAGGTGTGCAGCCCCCAGCCCTGCGGCGGAAAGACACCGGCCAGCACCCATCCCCAATGGACGTGCACTGCTGTCCGGCCCTGCGGCGCAAACAGAAGAGTAAGTCGGGGGGGAGCGCCGTGCATGTCAAATGGGGGGGGAGGGGGGGGAGAGAGAGTCAGGTTAGCGGGCAGTGTGTCACCTGGGGTCTGCCATGCCCCCTCGCAGGGTGAGAGATCCGCACCCCGGCCCCGAGATTGTCGTCACCTACTTCTTCTGTGGGGAGCACATCCCGTACCGGAGGATGGTGAGGTCGCCCAGCCTGACCCTGCGCCACTTCAAGGAGCAGCTTCGCAAGAAGGGCGATTACAGGTACCCCTTCCCAGCATGCACGGCGAGCTCTCAAACAGCCTAGAGAGTCGCGGAAGGGAAGGGGCTCCAGCGTCAGACGCCGGTCACATCTGGCATTGATTTTTCCTTTCAACACGTGTTAAATAAGCGGCGCACGAACGGGAACCGTACTGAGAAACCCCCATCCCCCGTCGGTGGCCGTCGTTTGCTGGGTATTCTGATGCTCTCCCTGAAGCATCCTGTGCCCTGCCCACACATTCCGATTGGCTGACACCAGAAGCCGCACCCACATGCGCTCACGTGCCGTTTGCTCCTCCGTAGCTCTGGAGTTCTCAGAACCACATTCTCCAGTAGAAATGTGGGTTGGGGCTGGATATGGGGGGCAGGTTAGTTACTTGCACACTGAAAGAGCAGCATGAGCAGGCTGTGCCCCCATGCAGCCTGCACGGCACAATGTTTGAAAGAAAATCCAGGGTGCTCAGCCCCCTGCTTGGTGGGGGGGTCGGGGGACTCTGCATCCATTGTGAGAGGCGGCACAGTTATTTGTTGACAGAAGCCCCATTGTTTTATAGTTTGAGGGACCTTATTCTCTCAATGTCATCGTGTGTGTGGGGGGGGGGGGCAATCCTCTGCCTACTTTGTAACTGAAGAGCTGTGTGTGTGTGTGTGTGTCCCTCCCTGATTCCCTCGTGCACAAACACACACGTGTGAGGGGGCGGCACAGGAACAGACACGGTGGCACCCAAAAATGCAAGCCTTTGTGAATGGAAGCCCTTCATGTCACGCCGGGGGCTAATTATACGCCGCTAGTGGCTGAAAGAGGGCGCAGAAGGGAGCCTTTAATTTGGGGGGGGGGGTGGACACTGCGGCCCTCAGAAGCTCTGGACAGGCGAGTGGCTTGGGGGCGGCCATTTTAATTAGGATTTTCGAGTTTATGCAAGAAGGATCTTACAGCCCCCCCCTCCCAAAAAAAAAACAAACAAGATGGTCTGAAATCGACCTTCTGCCCCACAGAGCTAACCAGTGATTCTTTGTTTCAGCCCTTGATTACAGCACATTAAGGGCCCCCCCTCTGACTTTCTGTAGGAGATGATGGAGGACGGGGGGTGGCTGGGGACTGGATTTATTTATTTTTTATTTTTTATTTTTTTGGGTGGTTTACGGAACCGTCATGTCAGCAGTTGCTGACGTTCACTGTTTCCTTGGCAGGTACTATTTCAAGAAGGCCAGCGACGAGTTTGAGTGCGGCGCCGTCTTCGAGGAGGTGTGGGAGGACGCGGCCGTGCTGCCCATGTACGAGGGCAAGATCCTGGGCAAGGTGGAGAGGATGGACTGAGGGCCTCGCGTACGACCAGCAGGGGGCGGGATGCCAGAGACGCCGAGGGCCAGCAGACAGACTGAGCGGATGGGGAGAGACATGTGACTTAAGATCTACAAACCAGCATGGAGACACGATGCTGATCACAAAAAGGACCGGAACCGAACCTGCAACTGCATCTTCCCTGGATATTTGAATGTGCGCAAAAAAGAACCCCCCCAGTTGTCCCATGTCCAGAAGATGGACAAGCTGCTTTGCCGATTTCTAGAAGATTCCAGTTACTGGTCCATTGCCGCAGTGATGCAGTGATGGCGAGCCAGTGGTTCAGGGGGCGTGGCATCCCTGCACAGGTCCGGATCTCCAAACCAACCAGTGAAAAGCGCTGCTGCTGATTGGTCCGTGCCTCCCGGCGTGGGAAAAGGAAGTGACACGGTCGAGTGCCTTCAGTGTGCGTGTGCGGGAGCCGAAGCAGGCGCAAGGCTCCGTCCAGCAGGACCCAATGTGAAGGAATGTGACCCTTAAAGACGGACTGAGGAATAGGCACCGGTCTGTGACCGCGGGTTTCGGTCATGCTCACCGCCATCTTATTCCTGCCACCCAGGCCTGGTCCTGGTTCTGGGTTCAATCCTGGGGGTGGGGGGACCCAAGATCACCTGTCCCCAGTCCCAGAGGCAGATGCCTAAAAGAACACGTGTTAAACGAGTACAACACGCGTGCCTACATGGATTTCCATGTACTGCCCTACTTCAGGGTGAAATATTCCCTTGGTTTTTTAAAGGGCTTTTATGTGGGGAAAAGAGATTTTAATGTGGGCTTTTTTTTTTTTTAATATATATTTGTAACCCTGTTCTTCATGTTGATCATTTATGTTCATGGGTTTCATTTCTTCTTCACAGGGTGGCATGCCATTTCAATCTAAATTATGCATTATAAGGATGACCTGGTACTTTATTGTAATTAACAGATGTAGCCTTTTATTAAAATAAAATATATATTTTTCAAAACGCAGTGGCTTTCTTTTGTAAAGCGGTGCAGGTGGAAGTTGCTGGTTGGGGGCTTGGCCTTCTGGGGCAGGAAGTGGTGGGTAAACAGCCCCCCCCTGGACTGTTTCCTAGTAAATAACGCTGTCTAGTGTAGGTAACCCAGCTGATTACATGCCTCCCTCCTGTAGCCTCTGGTGCCCATAATCCACCCCCTTGTGTCCCGTGACTACAGGTGCCCGTGTCTCTCTGGTGGGCGTGTATATTAGCTGTAGGAGCGGGATCTCAATGGCCGCAGGGCTCGTACAGCATGGACATGTCTGGCCTTGTTTTTTGAACGGGGTTTGTCACATGATGATGATCCCAGGCTTTCGCACTAAACCCCCAGCACTGGCTGACGGTCGCTGTTACATTGCCGGACTTTTGTTTACACTTTTAATGTATGCTGGCACACGAAATGTTGAAGGGCAGTCAAAAAGCGTTCACTTATCACACTTTATGGGTGGGAAAAGCTGAATTTTATCAGCTAATTGTAAGATAAAAGTGAGTGCGATTGGCGCCCTGTGTTGCTTTCCGCGAGGCAGTTTGTCCTCGCCAGTTTCAGTTGTGCTTTGATATGCCCCACCCCCCACATAACACAGCACTGTCGCTCCCCCATAACCAGCAATACAGGGACTGTAACTAACTGAATACCGGTAAATCAAAAGTAAACAAACTGAATAAAAGTTTATTTGGTTAAACGGAAAAACAGCGTGTCTGGAAGCTGCCATCACCTCTGTATCGGTAGAAAGTATCGTACAGAACTTCGGTACAGTATCGTACAGCATTTCGGTAGCACGGCAAAAGATCGAAATTTGAAGTTGACTACTGAACATGTACGACTGTCGCACCATCGGGAAGCGAGCGGCATCTGTCCCTGCATCCCTAGCCTCCTACATCAATTCCACAAACCGATTACTGCCCAAAACCACCATTTCCCAGCTTATTCCCTTGTCTCAACATCTTGGATGACTTTTTCTCGTGTGGAGGAGGAAAGGAGCATTCTGGGAGTTATCGCAGGCTGTCTCTGCGCACGTTTCCCAAGGAGTCACTCTAGTGGAGGCAAACTTTCTTGTTTGGGTGGTGCGGGGCAGGGAGGGGGGGGGGGTAATCAGTTTATTCTTCAGAAGAAGATGGGGAAGAAGCAAAACCTGGAAGATAGACCCCAACACCTTTCATGGGGGACCAGTCCTTTGTGCCTCAGGGACACATGGATGTCAGCAGGGTGTGTCATTAACCATTACGCTCCGATATCCTTTGTGTCACGGTTCTGTAGGTGTCACCATGCCGGTCCCTCCTGTCCCCTTAACTTAGCTGTGTCGCTTTGTGTCTGCCGCCATTTTCACTCATTACTCTTTCTTTTCTGGACCAGTTTCTTCTTCATCTTTTGTGTCGTTCTTGTCTTGTCATCTTCTCTTAAGTGTCTCACTGAGATGAAGCCCCCCCCCCGACCCAGAAGGGAGCTTGGTTCTCTCGGGTTTTGACAGAGGCAGAGTTTGCCGGAAGCAGCTCGCCTGAGAAGGTCCTGGGTCTGCTGGACCATCTTCAACCAGCCCACTCAAGATGTTCTGATCCAGTAGGGATGCGGGAACAAGGGAGAGGAGGACAACTAAAAATGTGTGGGAGGCGGTGGGTGAAAAGGAGAACATGCAAATGGAGAATGAGCTGAGCCTCTCTGATTGGGTGTATGTCGGCGTAAACAAACCAAGAGCGTATACACACTTTTGATGTCGTCAACCATGAAAGCTTTTGAGCAAAAACAGGAACATGAGCTTTTGCTGGGTGGCAAGTGGCAAAAGTGGAAAAACAAGAAGGGTATTTAGGCAGATTTGAACATCAGCAAGTTTACATTTTAATACCATGGTTTGTTTTTGCACTTGGTCATTCTTGGTCTGGAGCCATTCGTAGCATCTAGAATCACAGGAGATGGGGGCTTCGGTCGTCTCTGGGGGACAATTTTAATTTTAAATGATTTCACTGTAGAAAAAAAGAGAAGAATCTCTGGCCATAACCTGCACTAACCTGTTCATAACCTATATGGCTCCATAGCAAGTCATAGGTACAGTGAGTTAGAGCTCAAATAACAAATAATCAAAACGATTAAGACGTAAGTTATGAAAGCTTACAGGCTTCTACACGTAAGATAATGTGAAAGGTCACGATAATGGCAGCACCCATTTTGAGGATCGTAAACAGCTGTGGCGTCATTTACACCCTCTGCTTGCACCATTAGTAATTGCGGATGTCGTGGGTTAATTGGAGGTTTTTTTTAAAAAAGGGGGTGACTCGATAAACAAAAACGCTTGGCACACTTCCTTTAAAGGCCTCGGTTACGCGCCAAAGCCGATGACGTCCCAGTTAAAAAAGAGATTCAAACGCAGAGGCTCTTCTTTGATCGGAGGAGCTGCAGTTAGTACTAATTCAAAGCCTCGGGCGCGGAGGAAGAAAGGAGGCCGCTTATATGTCGACGGAGCCTCGCTCAGCGAGATCAGAGGCACTAATGAGTGACTCCGGTAAGGCTTCAGTCGCATGGAAGATGGAGGGGTCCGATTATATGCCAGCGCATCCTAGGGAGTGATGGCAGGGGTCCGTTTCCTGTCCCTGTCTCCCGGAGAAATTACCGACTTAGAAAGGTACAGTTGAGGTAGCCGATGCCTTTCTTTTTATGGCTCTTTGATCGCCTCAAATTAATGAGGGTCATCATCAGAACCTGTGGAATTCGGCATACTGGGGATGTTTCTTACATCATGAAGTATTTACAGGGTAAAATGAAGCACAGTGAAGCAGTGCATCCTACACATCGACTGTCCCACCTCCCTCCCTGCTGGCTCTGGTCCGGTCTCAGGAGTCCGTTGACGAAAACCCGTGGGCTCCGGTTCTGTGAAGCCTGGCCGTTTCGGGTTAAAGTTTTAATTTTCCGGTCTTGGGCCACTTCAAAGGAATGTGGAGCCTCGTCGGTCCTCGAAGCGTTCCGTGACTGACTTCCCTCTCTCATTTCAGTAGCCTCAAACAAACACGCGCCGGCCCTTTATTTTAAAACGGGGGCGTTTTCCGCGTACTTATTCGGCGGCGGTATTATTAGGCTCAGCAGCGAGAGAGTGTCGGCGGTCCGGGCGCCGCGGGGTCGCGGACGTTTTCGCCGACGTCTCCTCTCCGGCTGCTCTTTAACCTCCATTTGCGAATGAGACGCAAACCCCCTCCCCATCCCTGCTGTAATTTCACTGGAATGAACCTCATTGCCTTTCATCCCCCCACAGACCAGAATCCTCCTGGTCGGGTCTTCAGACATGAAAAGAGACAGTCGCCAGCTTGTTCTTTCATTATTATTATTTTTTGTTCTCAAACGATCAAAAGGAAGAATCTGTCAAGCTTCAGAGACGAGACAGTGACGTCTCTATCAGATTATGAAGACGAGACCCTTATCCCGTCTGCCTGGGGTCCAACCTTCTGTCTTGTCAGTGTGTCTTACCACTCAGGGTTGGACCTAATACAGCCCGTCGTCTCCGTTCCCATCCGTGACGTCAGTCAGGCTGCCTGACGGCTCTGTCTCCCAGTCTCATCTTTATTGAGCATTACTCCATGGTGGTCAATGAGGTCATCTTCTAAAGCAGAGTCAGACTCACAGTGACAGCATAATCACCACTAATGCAGGCGGCTCAGATTAAAAACAGGACTGAGACAACTAGTGGGCCCCCAAGCATATCTGAAGACTCACCGCGGGGCCAGGTGGTAACGTCGCATTTCCGCGTCACTTAACCCAGAAAGGTCGGTGTGACAAAGATCTCTTGGAAACAACCTGCTTCGCCACAGAAAATCCGGTGTGGTTTTATTTCAAGCTACTTACAAAGTTAAAAAGGCTATTTCACACAGTAGCCTTTGAAATAACACACAGTGCACAGGCTTGTAAGCCGGAAATAATAAATTCTTTAAGTCGAGCAGTGGCCTGGTTAAGTGAGAAATGCCCCCCCCCCCCAAATGCTCACCCACATTCTGGCTTTTTTGCTGAGGCAGGGGTGCAGGCTGGACTCACCAGCTGGGGCTGCTAATTTGTCTTTGCCCTCCCAGCTTAATGGGAATTCTTTTGGTTACACATCACCTGCACATCACCTTGCCTGTGATTAAAAATGCTAACCTGCATGTGACCTTGGCCGTGATTGACCTGCGTGTCACCTGCACATCACCTTGGCTGTGATTAAACATGCTAACCTGCACGTCACATTGGCCGTGATTGACCTGCGTGTCACCTGCATGTCACCTTGGCCGTGATTACACATGCTAACGGGGGCTTGGTGAGCTTTGATGTCTGAGAAATGGTGGCAGGGAAGGTTAGGGACACCCAGGGACACCCAGCAGAGCAAAGCAGCCTCCCAGATTAATCAGGTCAGACACCCCTGTGGGCCTGGGACACCCCCACCCCCCCGCACCAAATCTGAGGAAGCTTTAATTAGTTTGGCTCCAAGGGGAATCCCTAGTACAGACGTGAGAAAAAACATGGATGTTTTTCACATGATAAGCCTGCATATATGCACATATAAACACATACAAAACACACATCGACCTGCATATACACACCACTTACATTTTAAGTCATCAAGACAACAAAATGGTTTATGATTAATTTGTTAATACAGGTCAGTGAGTGTACTGTTTCCTTTAAGGAAAGAGGCTGTGTGTGTGTGTGTGTGTGTGTGTCTCTGTGCCTGTGTGTGTTTCAGTCATAGAAAGCGTTTAAACATCTACTCACTTTGAAGTCGGCAGAGACGACTCCTGTGATTGGTGGGCTGCTGGGATATTTTATTTGCTGGGCCTGTAAGTCAGGATATCTGGGATTAGTCCAAATGCTGAAGGGGACGGATCAGAATGTTCTCTCATATAAGCAAGAAAAAGTGTACGCTTCAATAGGCCTTGATAAGAGGTGGAATGCAGTCATTATTTCTTTATGTATACAGACGCTCCTCTACATACGAATTGTTCATTCATGCTAAATGCTTTCTCCTGTCTTCAACATCAAGCGACTCTCGGGAACTGAACCGACATCCTTCTGGTGCAAGGGTCGTGATGGTGCGGATGGTCGGTCGGGTTGGTTAAGCCTAACAACCGCGTGAAATTTGCACGCAAAGCTCTCAGACTCTCTTTCCAGAAGGTGTCCATAGCTCTACCCTCTGTAGCTTCAATAATAAATAAAAACATGCTGCACATCTTTCCATTTGTCCTGCCAGCTGGGTGTCTCCTCTTCTCTCGGTGTGTGAAGTATGTTGAGGTGCGAGACGGGACCTCCAAGCCCCTGCACCCCCTCCACTATAAACTGCAGGTTTACCGGCTGCCAATCATAGCTCCTTCGAAGTCGGTGTGTCCCGAATCCCGTTTCCCGTTCCGGCTGTTTGTTGTAGGATGGGAGACAGGGGCGGCGCGTCTCTGAGCGCGGTGCCACTGAGCCGGGCTGCATTCAGCATCCTGCCGCTCGCCTCTGATCACCTGTCGGGTGAAATTCCAGTGCCGGATAAAAGCGAGTAGAAGAGGGGGATGTGGAGTCAGAGGCTGGATAAAAAGCTGGCAGAACAGAGGGGTGGGGAGTGACAGGAAGAAAAAGGGGAAACGTCGGGAAAACAGCTTGCCGGGACTGCATTTCCCCTGCAGTAATTGGGCAAAGAAACAGAATATTTTAATTTGTTGCAAGAACTCTTACCTATGCAGGCAGACACACATTCATGGCTGTCATATACACTCCAGCTGCACAGGGAGGGGCGCATTAAACGGGGGGAGTCAGAGAATGGGATAGATGGAAGGGGAGAGACGAGAAATTCAAAAAGAAAGAAGGAAAAAATGTAACTAGGTTCTGACTCATGTTCATGGAGTCTGAAAAGAGCACAGACCCAATTGGGGGGGGGTGGGGCCTTGTAAACAAGATGCTGGTAACCAGGTGTAAGTGTGTGTGTGTGTGTGTGTGTGTGTGTGAGTGGATGCGCGTGTATGTGTAAGAAAGACGGAGAGAGAGACAGAGAAAGAGAGATGGTAAAGATTATCACACCAGCTCATTTCTCCTGAAAGTGTGATGTAATCAGTGTAAAATGCTTCTGCAGCCCACTGAAACCATTTGTAGGTTTTTGCAAATGTGTGAGAAGCTTGATTTGCACCCGAGCAGACAGTTTTGGCGTTTTCATTCCCAGGGTGCAAAATCGGCGAGGATGGCGACCTGTCATTCAGCGCTCGTGCAGCAGTCAGAGAATTTTTCCCCCCCCCCAATGGTTTCTTGCTCAAATGGTTTTCTACAGACAGTAATGGCTGGAGTTGAGTTGTTAGTGAGTAGCCACACTCGTGGATTGACTAACACAGTGTTGTTATGCCACAGAGCCCGGAGCATTGACAAATTGTTAGGATCAGCACCAGCAACAATAGTCATCCACAGAATGTATTTATAGTAAATATTCTAAGTGATTTGAATCCATTGCTCAGCAAATCTCTCTGCCAGAATATAAATGAGTGAGGACGGTAGAGTTCCAAGGTCGTCATTTAGCAGGACGGGTGGCTGATGGTCCATCTCCAACACCCTTATAAGGAAGCCCGTTAATCCATGCCTCTGGTCACTTCTGCTCTAGTGGCTTCAAAGACTCCTCTAAAAGCTCAGGCTGATTTCAGCTCATCAACCTGCTCTGCGCTTCAAATCATGCCCATATCTTGGGGGGGGGGACTTTGCCTGGACAGATGGCGTGAAAGTTTGTACTAATAGCTTCAAGTATTTTTTTGAGGTCTCCACCCATTTAAGGTGGTCCAGGGGCTTGTATTGGCTGGCTTTGATTACTGGGGGGGTTACAATCCCCCCCATCCCACCCAAAGTTTATGCCCATGTATGAATGACAGGTAAGTTCCAAATTTTCTACAAGAATCCATAATGAATCTTCTTTGAGTAAGTAAACAGTTGTATTTGCTTGCATATTTCTTGTTTTTTCAATGAATTGATTGGTAATTTTTTTGTTGTGAATGCCTTGCAGGTCAGTAAAATTAGTAAAAGAAGCAGACGGAGGATTCTTTATGGAAGAGTCGGCCATCTTCATGGTTTTCTTGTGATAACGCATTGGTGCTGTCAGAATTTCAATGAATTTATCAGTTTGGGCCAGCAGTAGGGCTTACATTTTGTCGCTCATAATGAGCGAACACATAGGGCAGTCCACCTAGTGAATAACATTAAACGTGCATTTTGTATTATATATTTACAGGTTTAGTGTTTATTCCTTGGCTTTCCACAGATTTGCTAGTCTGCCTCCCCGTGGTCGTTTTCCCCAGGCATGGTCTTTCAACACAGCAGGATTCATGAAACGCATATTTTCTCTTTCATCCCGACTCTGACTGTGCACTTCAAACAAATTTTAATAATGAAAATAGAAGCAGAAAACGAAATAACACCGTGTCATACCTGCGCAGAAAGCGGGGGATCTGCACTACCGCACTCGCGAAACGAAACTAAATATCGCGCTATACCAGCCAGTGAGCCCGGGGAAGATGCGATTCCTACAGCCGAAGAGGCAACATCACTCTGACTCTGGCCCTATACGTTTCTGATAAACAGGGTTGTAGCGCCGATGGTTTCTTTCAGCGTCCCCGCCTTGGCCGCCACCCCCCCCGGATTGATAAGCCTGCATCATTAATGCTGCGCTTTACTGTCGGCTGAAGTGTCATTGTGCGCAGAGCTCACGGCTTCGCCGCGCTGTCACTAAGCTTTGATGTGCTTCTCCCCCAGGACCGATGCCCCGCTCTCAGCACAATGTTGTTTAGTTCAAAGCCAAAGAGAGCAATGATTTCTGCTTTTAAGTATTAGCTTCCCATGTCATCTGTAATGGTATAGTTTGACTACAGTGTGCGGTTGATTAACTTCATAAATTGGATATTACAGTAGGGAAAACTGGTCATATTTTTGTCATATTCATACACATTTTCACTGCCGCCCTGGTACACCATTTAATCAATTTTCATTTCTGCTTTTTTATTCTTATTGTGTCTGTCCACTTTCCACAAAGTCAAAAATTTGCTGTTAATTATAGGGTTTATTAGGCCTACAAAAAGCTTATTAAGTTGAGGAAATTAATTAAGCATGGGCCCTAAACTGACAGTTGTCTAATCTGTTCTTCTGGTCTCCTTCCTTAATACGAATGGTGGCGGTCAAACAAAGCTCATTCAACACGTGAAAAACATTTTTTTCTCTGTGCGGGCTGCCATCTTCTGTTGAAAGCGGAGAGTGCAGTCATTTTTAATAAACCAAAAAAAGACGCACTTTTTAATCTTACATTACGAGAATTGTCACATGCAGTGTTTAAAAATAAAAATAAAATCACAGTAAGTATGACAGATGTGACCCAACATCTCATTTTGCCTTATTATACGTTAACTAATTAGCATTTGACTGGGTACCCAGTTAGCCTACCTATCTTACTGTTCATCTTTACTATAAGTTTTCAGGAATAATGTACACATTGTTGTCCAGGTAACTGGTGCTTGCGTCTTATCTTTTAAATGTTTTAAAAGCACGTAAATGACACACGTTCGTTTTTTCATCGGACACTATCGTCGATGTCAATGCATTTAGGCTACATGTCAATTCAGTTAGCAAAGCCTACTCATTCTACATACCTATAAAATCATACCAAATGGTCCCTTATCTAAACATACTGACGAAGATGAGATAGAACCACAGTAGCGTTCAATGATCACCTGCGACCAGACTATACCTATCAAAACAATTACATAACAAAATGTCAATATTTAGTTTTTATTTTTATATCTAGGGCTGAATCTAATTTTGCTCAACGTTGTCCCGTTTAGCTGAATTTAACCTGATTAGAATAAAATATCTTTATTGTCAGTGCACAAGTATAGGCCTAATGAGCCAATTGTACACATAACCGGGGAAGTTTAATAAAACAACCCATAGTCAGAGTATAGCCTGTAACGTCGTTTGACTAATAGGGGCGTGTCATATGCTTTACCTAATGAGATGGTAACCGCGAGCTCGCCAGCACCTTAATCAATCCCTGATTGCATGTATGGGGGGGTCCATGAGATACGCCGACCGATCTGTGTTGATTGCTTTAGCCTTTGAAAATTGAATCTCATCTTTTTCTCTATTGGAAACTGGGAATGACATTCGTATAGGTACAGAGGATTGCAACGGAGCGATTCTATGGGCCTATGGGGACTGACCGCATCCATAGACTGTTTAAACTGCAGGGAGATCTTTGTCGGCGTACAGCGGTATTTCATTTCCGTCCGTGCAAGGATAATGATCGGTATATGCGGTAAGACTAAATCGTTTTATAACCAGCCAGCCTTGTGAATAATTGATTATGTTGGAATTCTCTCTGTAATGCATTTCCGTCCAGACAGGCTTCCGTGTAAATCAGTCCAGTTTTTACGATGGTCCACACTGGAATATGCGGTCAATAGGATATTTTCTATAACCAATAGCATTCATTTCCGTTATAGGTGATAGGATGTAATCTCAGTATTTTGGAGTTTGCTACAGTATTAAACGTATATTGTTCAGTTCATTACAATTAGAATGAATTTACTAAGGCGTTAGGTAAGTGATCGCAGGTTGGGGTTCTGATGTGAAAAAGTGCTATGCTGTTTTGGGCCATAAAGAAATGGTGTATTTGTTTTTCGTGTTGGTGTCATCAGCAATCAGGCATGTGGATGCAGACGCAATCATTTAAACATAAAAAACAGCGGTTAACTGACAATAGTTATGTAACCAAAGAACCTTAAAATATATATTTGAGTCTTTTAGGTGGCTGGGAAATGCATCACACGTTACCATGACAATAGAAAATTATGCTCAAATGTTACATGCTTTAATAAATAAATGATATGTATGAATGTATGTTTGAAATATGTATTAAAACCGAGCTACAGTTTAGAAGCAATAATACCGTTTACTATCTACCGATGTTGTAAGATAACAATGCAACGTTTCCGATTTTTCCGTTTATTATAGTTCAATGCGATTTTTGAAATTAAGCTCGTCGGCGCAGTCGTGGCTGCTGCTGAGATTTTTTTGTTCACGGAAATGTTTGTTTCCACTTTTAATTCCCTCCCTGTAGCTATGCAAACAACGTAGTAACACAGTAATCTGCGCAGTACGGATACACTGTTTCAAGCGTGAATGATGGCCAGGAGGAAAAATGTTACTTTGCACTACCTCTGCACTTTGCTTGGCGCGCACTCGACTGCTGCTTGAATTATAGCCTTTATGGCGTGTTTGGAGGCTGCATTGATTAATGCGAAAATAGTTCACGGGCGGTCTGCTAGTTGCAGGAATGGAGTCGTGTTTTTTTTTTTGTGTGTCTGACACTATCTGCTCATGTCTGTCCTTCTTTTTGTAGGCAGCCCCGGATCATGACATGACAGGTGGCGCGGACCCTGTTGCCATGGGAGACTGAATAGCTGTCAAGCTCGTGCGTAAGCTTCCTGGTCGCGGTCCCTGTGCTGAGCCAGGTGGATCAGCCCATTTTACACACTTGTGGGGGGGATGGAGTGCATATTCCCTTTCTAATTCTCATTTTCTTATTAATAACTGTGAGAAACAGGGTGATATGGCTATATTCTAACTACCATAATATCGTCTGCAGAAGTAGATAAAGGAAGCTCTTAAAGGACTTCCAGACACCCTGAGTAAACTAAGTCACCCAAGAGGCCCCCCGCAGTCCAGTGTGGTATAGACCTACATTTCGAGTGCCTTTGTGTTGTGTGTGTGCTGCCAGAGGTCACCTCAAAAGTTTTTTTTTCCCAAATGCTAATTAGAAAAATGGCAGTGAAGTTTAGCATAATGGGCAGCAGTTGTCAGTTGGTCATGATATAGTGCATCTGGCTGGGGAGGGGAGTGTGAATTGGGCCCTTCGCTCAGAACAGCGTGTCCTGCGCTGACCTAGCATAGCGGTGACGGTATGGAAGGATTTATTCACTTGTTGTAGGCTGGAGTCACAGGACTTTGAAAGCTTGAAGTGATCCAGAGGCCTTCATGACCGGTGGTGTTCTTTTTGACCCTCCAGGCTGACCTCTGACCCTGACAGTGTCCTGCAGGTATTCTGTCACCCGCCTGAGTCCCTTGTTGTCATCACTAGGCAGCAGGTGTGTGTATCGCAGCCGCAGAGTCAGGCTCCCCCACTGCCAGATCTTGTGTGGTCTTTCACTGAGGGGACATTCTGTGGGGTGGGGTGGGGGGGTGAAGTGACCAGGTAATTCCC